AGCTGCAATCTTTAATACTTCGAGTATTTGTTGAAGAAAGAGAGATTAGAGAGGGAAACAGACAATCAGTAGAGAAGAAATCAACATTTCTTCAACCCTCTGGCAAAGAAACAGAGAGATTACTGAGTAATTATTTCTTTATTTTCTGCGGGTAACATATTACTCCTATAGTGTTTTTTTATTCTGAATGAAAAAGTAAAGAGATGAGAGTCTTTGTGAAACTGCCTGTCTCAGTCACAGATTTCAAAGGGTGGGTCTCAATATTGGACCTTACCTTTGTTATTCCACGTATCTTTTTGAACTTTTTAGTGGGAATGTCACTTACTCTGCATAAGAGTTGGGGCGGATCCATGTAGGACTTTGGGGGTGTCACGCCACCCGGTTGCTCGGGGTAAACTATTATATATGTATATGTATTTTACAGAAAAAAGTTATATAACTTAAGGATGGCACCGCCAGTCACATACTAATTGTACGTGCCGTGATCAAAGTGTCAAAATCCCATGCTTAGAACCTGGGATCGAGACTCGGTGGTTTCCGATACGGTTCTATTTACTTTTTCCCCTACCTGTTCCCTTTTACCCTTTTCTTTATTTTCTCGGCAAAGGGCTAAATATACCCCTCTACTTTCAAATATTGTTTACCTGTACCCTTCGTTATACTATTGGGCTATCGATAACCCTACCGTCATACTTTGGAACAAAAATATCCCTATTGTCATACTTTGAAACAAAAATACCCTTATTTTGAATGGAGTGTCATGTGGCAATACCAGATTAAAACAACCCATTTTTTTACCCGATCCGTTTTAAAAAAAAAACCCACAACCCGACCCCTATTTTCATTTTTTCCAGTTTTTTTTTTTAAATTTCAGTTTTTAAAAAACGAAAATAATTTGTTAAAAAACAAAACAAAAAAGAATTCTGTTTTTACAAATTTGTTTTTCCAGTTTTTACAAAACAAAATTCTTTTAAAAAATTGAAAAATGAAAAAAAATATTTTCAGAAACTAAAATATTTTGTTGAAAATAATGTTTTCAGTTTTTAAAAACGAAAATATTTTGTTATAAACTGAAGTTTTCTTTGTAAAGGGTTTTAGCTTCTTTGGGTTCTATAAATAAAGAATTTTTTTATAAGGTATATGAAATTTTATTTAACATATGAAACAAAAAAGAAGGAAGAGAGTGGTGGGTGTGTGGGGTGGGGTGGGGGTGGGGGTAATTTTGGGTAATATAACAGAATTAATGTGTATAAATATGAGGATAAAAAGAGATAAAACAGAAAAAAATATTTTCGGTTTTTAAAAACTGAAAACATTATTTTCAACAAAATATTTTCGTTTTTGATTTTTTTTTTCATTTTTCAGTTTTTTAAAAGAATTTTGTTTTGTAAAAACTGGAAAAATAAATTTGTAAAAACAGTTTTAAAAAAAAAATATTTTCGTTTTTTAAAAACTGAAATTTTAAAAAAAAACTGGAAAAACATGAAAATAGGGGTCGGGTTGTGTTTTTTGTTTTTTTTTAAAAACGGATCAGGTAAAAAAAGAAGAAATGGGTTGTTTTAATCTGGTGTTGTCACGTGACACTCCATCCAAAATAGGGGTATTTTCGTTTCAAAGTATGACAATCGGGGTATTTTTGTTCCAAAGTATGACGGTAGGGGTATGGATAACCCAATAGTATAACGAAGGGTACATGTAAACAATATTTGAAAGTAGAAGGGTATATTTAGCTCTTTTCCGTTATTTTCTTTCTTCCTTTTTCTTAATTTCTTTTATCTCTTTATTTTTGTATTTACTCTCCCCTTGTGCAACCCCATTCTTATTATTTATTTAAATTATATATTTCCTTACTTTTTTTGTTTCTAGATCTTCAAAATTTTATTTTAATGTAATTTTAATCTTTTTCAATCCATCTAATGTTATTTTTTTTATTGATTTCCAAAACCGACGTTATTTTTCGGCTACCAAATATAAATAATTTTTGGAGCGAGCTAAACGTAATAATACCTCAATTTTATAAAAGGAAGTTCAAGGCCATAGGACTTCTTAACTTGACGTGTGTGTGTGTGTTTCCTTTTTCCAAATATAACTTGACTTGTTCAACATCTATTCCCAGCCACCGTAAATTTTGTCAGTCCAACGAATTCCATAAATATGACGGTATTTGTATTTCGTGATGCGCAGGTCAAATAATAATCCAGGTTTAAGACACAATTTTGTTACTTCATATTTTAAAAAAAATAATCAGTATAACTTTAAATAGTCTAAAGATAATATATTTTCTATATAAACAAATAAAAATAATTAATTAATTGAAAGTTAAATGTACTAAGCTTAGCCAAATATTACAAAGGTCAGAATCAGAATTTATCATTATTCGGATGACAAAAAAAGTGAGATTATTTCTACTGTTATTTATGCACGATTTTCTTGTGTTTATTCAAGTGAAATTATAGATTGAATTTGCAACGAGCACGTCAAAAACAAATTAGAGACACATTTTTGTATTGGAACTTTTAAAAAGTTATTTAAGTTAGGAAAAATGACACTGTATAGCCGCTATAAAAATAATAGCCGAAAACTATATAAAATTTATATATTTTTTGTATGTTATCTACAAAAATTATACATGTTTTATTCACTTTTTTCGCTATCAGATATAAATAGTTTCTGGCACGGGTCAAAAGTGATAATACCGAAAAATGATACTGTATAGCCGTTTATAGCGAAAAAGTTGTATAAAATTTGTGTATTTTAAATTATATAATGAAACTACTGTTATTTATGCATGATTTTCGCTAGTGGTGCATCCCCACGTTGCATGTAATGCATACACACAGCCACTATTTTTTCACAAACTGCAGCTTATTCCTTCAACTTCTCCTTGAAAAACAAGAAAATTGTGGAAAAAGTAACAAGCTAATTCGACTTTCTTAATTTAATTCTCTCATTTTATTAATAACAAATTTTGATTGGATATTTACAGCTACGACACGGTAAAAACTAAAAGCCATCTTTTCCTGTTACATCTGTTTAATTTCGTCTTTCCATTCCATTAATTAGCTTTTGTTTTTATTATTATAACTCTACAAGTCATAGAACACAAAAATGATTGCCAGTCACATTTAAGAAGGGGAAAATAAAGGATTTTCCCTTACCCTATTTTTGAATGAATCTGCAGATAGCAGAGCGGCTAATAAAACAATTATGTAAATTATTTTTTGTATATTAACATTTTTTTCGTAAAGGTAGCAATGTTTGATGCTCATGATATATTATTTCGAGTTACGGTGCTTTCTTAACAATGAAAGAGTGATATATGGTTCACTTTTATATACTCAATACAAAATCAATTAATTTATGCAGTTAATTCTAAGTTAAATGTCGTCTAACTTGATATTTCGAAAGTAAAACTTGTTCAATAATTAGTTATAACTCCTAGGTTCTAACTTTTTGCATAGGTTTTGGAATATTTATTTTTTTTAAAAAAAATAAATATTCGTTTGAATGCGTTTGGAAGATGATTAAATTAATTCTCAAATATATCAATTTGATTCTCGATGAAGGGACCTACCTTTTAGATCGCGTTACCACTCAGGATTGTGATGAGATGAAATTTTTCATCTTCAACAAAGTCTCAAGTTCGATTAGAAAAAATTTGAAACCTGTAGTAGCTAGAAGGAGTAGTCCCCGTTTAATGGGTCGTATGCGGTGTGTATTTGAATTAGCAAACTAGTGGAGTATGGATACCAGATAATAATAAAAAGGAGAATCATATTTTAAATAATAAGACATTAATTACAATTTCTATTACAAGGCCAATACTACTACTATTACAAGTAACGTAACTGACAAAAGTAAGAGCAAAAATCAAACAATTTTTTTCCATTTGAATAGGCATATTAGACACAAGTTTTCATTCCCAATAATAAAAAGGATAAATATGACAAAGGCATAGTTCTATAAAGCTAAATGGTTTTCCTATAATGTTGTAGCACTGCCATATACGACTATAAATGCACTATATACGGTTCATGCCAAAAAGTCAATTAACTGAATAAAGATTAGAGAACTGTTTTTTGTGATGGAACTTTTTCAGTTTTCTTCTGTGTCTCATTTGCTTGAAGAAATTTTTATGTTTAAGTCTTTGATAACTAACTTTCGGTTTTTCCCATCTCAAAATTCCTCTATTTTCAGTTTTTTTTTTTTTTTGTTTTGTTTTGTTTAATGAACCGAAAAAGAAAGAGAAGGAAAACCAATTCAGGTCATTGACATATTACGTCAAAAGAGAAAAAGATTTCCAATCCACATATACAGCCCGTTTGGATTTAGAATAGCTGATAAACATTAAGTACTGAAAAACACTTTTAAATGTTGAAACTGATTTAAAAAATAAGTAGTTACGTATTTGGATAAAAGTGCTGAAATTAATAATATGCAGCTGAAGAACTGGGTATACGAAGAGTTTTGTTTTAAAAAGAAGTATTTTAGGGTTAGAATAGTAAATATTTTGGTCAAACTTAAAGTGCTTATAAGCTGAAATTTGATAAGTTGGGGGCGACCAACTTATGACTTTTGACTTATTTTTGGCTTATAAGCACTTTTAATTTTACCAAACGCGTAGATAAGCCAAAAAATACTTATAAAAGCCAGTTTGACCAGCTTATAAGCTTAGCCAAACACCCTAATAATCTCAATCTGCCTCCTTTAGCTTCTTTCAATATACAAAAGCTTTTAGTTAGTACTAATTGTTTTAATCTGTCTTTTTGTGGCTAAAGTCTTTAACATGTGACCAAGATATTCTAATGCTTCTCTTCTTTCTCAAAATTTTAAATCTTGAAGTAAAATAAGTTACATTTTTCAGTTTTTTTGCTTTTTATTCCACATGTATTTCACAAAAGATCATTTTTTTTATAATGAATAAAACTGAATAATTAAAAGAAATAAACAAGTTGTGAAGCTCTACTATAAATATCTCAACTCAAACTGCTAAACCACTCATCATCTCAACTCTAATAATATTCTCTGTTTTAGTCTTTAATCACTTCATATCTCATCAAAAATATGAAAATGGAGAACCCCATTTTTTCTCTTCTTCTTATTTCACTTCTCTCCATTTTCTTCACTAAAACCATAGCTGATATTGTGACATTGAATGTTCTAAATTTTGGTGCAAAACCAGATGGAAAAACTGACTCAACAAATGCTTTTTTAACTGCTTGGGCAGCAGCTTGTGACTCTTCAAAACCAGCCACCATATTTGTCCCACAAGGAAAGTATTTGGTTAAACAAGCACATTTTAAAGGAAAATGCAAGAATAGAGCCATAACATTCCAAATTGATGGCACATTTATTGCACCCTCCGATTATAATGTGATTGGAAATTCCAAAAATTGGCTTTTATTTCAAGGTGTTGATGGAGTTTCCATTCATGGTGGAATTCTTGATGGCCAAGGGAATGATTTGTGGGCTTGCAAGGCCTCAGGCAAGAACTGCCCGAGCGGCGCTACGGTAAGTCGTGAAATTTTTATGCTACCAGTGTATTTTAACTTGTTGAAAGGGAAGCCTTGGCGTAATTTGCTGCCATGTGACCAAGAAGTCACCGGTTCGAGCCAGGAAACAGCATCTTGCAGAAATGCAGGGTAGTGTTACCTACAATAGACCCTTGTGGTCCCTGAACCCCATGCTACCAGTGTATTTTAACTTATTGTAATTATCTGTAGTTTATCTTTTAGGTAACTACAAATGGTGTGAAAATTCATTATCAGTGTATAGAAGTTAAATTTTTGTATAATTAAGTGCTTTATTCGTATACATTGTTAAGAATTTCATTAATGACTTGGTGTGGTCAACAGAAGGTTAATTATTCTGGCCACATTGGGAAAACAAATCCATAACTTGTTCATTTCTCAGAAATTAGCAATTTTCTAGATGAGTGTAACGTTCCCTTTAAATAAGGATATATACAGCCACTTTATGTAAGTAACTGTCCAAGTATTTTCAACCCTGATATTATGGTTTATTTAATTTTTCAAATGTAGGATCAAATTCTCTAGTGATAATAATGAGTTTTGACCTTAGACTAAAAATTTTAAATGCCGCTTTTGAACTGAAAATGAAAAATCCAATTTCTTGCTTCATACTGTAATATTCAATATCTGCTGATTTACTTTCTTGTTATTGCAGACTCTGGGATTTTCCAACTCAAACAATATAGCAATAACAGGACTAACTTCATTGAACAGTCAAATGTTTCACATTGTCTTCAATGGGTGCAAAAATGTGAAGTTGCAGGCTGTCAAAGGTCTTGCCTCTGGCAAAAGCCCGAATACTGATGGTATTCACATTCAGTTATCATCTGACATCTCGATTTTAAACTCGAAAATCAGTACCGGAGATGATTGCATCTCCATTGGTCCCGGAACTACTAACTTGTGGATCCAAAACATGGCTTGTGGCCCTGGCCATGGAATCAGGTAATAATAATCATGTAATAAGTGGGATCAGTAACTTGAAAAATATTGAAGGGAGTCTTGGCGTAACCGGTAAAGTTGCTGCTATGTGACTAAAAGGTCACAGGTTCGAGCCATGGAAACAACCTCTTGTAGAAATGCAGGGTAAGGTTGCGTACAATAGACCCTTGTCGTTCAGCCTTCCCTGGACCCCACTCATGACGGAAGCTTAGTGCACCGGGCTGTCCTTTAGTAACTTGGAAAATAAGGCAGGTGTAGTATAATAGATGAAAGTCGCTGAGGCGTAGTTATTGTTATTCTTGTATTACAACAGATAAAATACACTAATAAGAGTAGCCCGGAGCACTAAGCTCCCCTTATGCACGGGGTCCGGGAAAGGTCCGGACCACAAGAGTCTATTGTACACAGCCTTACCCTGCATTTCTGCAAGAGGTTGTTTTCACAGCTCGAACACGTGACCTCCTTGTCACATGGCAACAATTTTACCAGTTACGCCAAGGCTCCCCTTCCATAGAATACACTGATAGTGTGAAAATATTTACCTTGTCGGTGAATAAGTTAAATACTACCTATTACAATGATATGGTGGTAAATTTTGTTGCAGCATTGGGAGTTTAGGCAAGGATTTTCAAGAAGCAGGGGTGCAAAATGTGACAGTAAAATCAGTTACATTTAAGAACACACAAAATGGTGTGAGGATCAAAACATGGGGCAGACCAAGTACTGGCTTTGTAAAAAATGTTATTTTCCAACATGCTACAATGATTAACGTTCAAAATCCAATTGTTATTGATCAGAATTACTGTCCATATAACAAAAATTGTCCTGGCCAGGTATGAATTTTACTCTAACCATTATACTTTGGTGTAAAATTCAATTAAGTTATCGCTACATTAGCCAGATATTTCTTGTTCAATAGGTGTCAGGTGTGACAATTAGTGATGTTACATATCAAGATATACATGGAAGTTCAGCAACACGAGTCGCGATGAAATTTGATTGCAGTAAAAGAAATCCATGCCGAGGAATAAAATTGGAAGATGTAGATCTCACTTATCAGAATCAACCAGCTGCTCAAGCTTCTTGTGCTAATGCTGCCGGAACAACTTCTGGTGTAATTCAACCAACAAGTTGTTTATAAAGGAAAATCCAAGAAAAGGGGTTCTTTCCCTTTTTATTTTCTTTTTAAAAAAAAAAAAGTATATTTAGTTCTTAATTAAGACAAGGGAGCCAGTGGTTTAATTTAATTGCTCAGACTAGGTGCTTGCTTGAGCCTGTGGTGTGACTGGAATCACCTGGCCTAGCAATGCTAATTAAAGACAGAAGTTGTTATCCCCATTATTCAATGCAATAGAATATCTTTCTCCATTTCTCCATTACAAGTGTCAATTACATGCTTCAATTGTCACAGCTAACAAACTAAAATGTTCAATATTAATGTCTGAACTTTCTATAGGTTCCAGTATTCTTATTAGTTCTGTAAAAGCATGTAGTTCTGTCTGCTCAAGGCTATTTTCAGCGACGGACACCTTCGAATCACTAAGGCCGACTTACATCCCTGCTCGACGGGTGGGTCTTGCAGCCAAGCTCCCTTTTGCATTTGCACTCTATGGCAAATCTCCATCTGGCCTGAGGAACCTTTGCCTCGGTTACCTTTTGGGAGGCCTAGCTACACCCCATATAAATTGTCTACCTTAAACTGTCCCTTGGCCCGTAGTCCTAATACAAGGTTAAAATTCTAGCACTTCTAGAGTGGTATCTCACTGATGGCTCGGGCCCCCGTAAGGAGGCTGTATGAGGTGAAAAACTCATGTATGGTTCTGTAGAGCGGCAGAAAGGGTGATTTAGCTGTCAACTTTTCCACTATCACCCAAAAAACAGACAAACTCTGCCTTACATAAAGTTGCCAAAGTACGATTAATCTATGGATTTGAAATCACTGCTTATATACCCGGTATTGACCATAATGTACAAGAACATTCTGTAGCCTTAGTAAGAGGGGGAAGGGTTAAGGATTTACCCGGTGTGAGATATCACAATCTCAGAAATTGCTTATAATTTTTCAAACTAAATAAATTCAGCATCAGTCTTTTGTGAACTCTTTTTAGAAACTGCAAATGCAATCAATAAGGCTTTCCAATGCTGTAGTATTTATACAGATTCATAGATATTACATTTGCAACAAAAACTATCAGCATAGATACTCAAAATATGGCTTTCACCCTTCAATTATTGGTCTGCTCCTGCTTTGTCTTCTGAGTAACCAGATAAACTATAGCACTAGTCATATACGATTGAAATCTCAATTGATAAGGGTATTTTTCGTACCAAGTCCGTTCGATCCTGAGAAATTGACATCAGTGTGTCATACACTTCCAGCATTGTTGGCCTTTTGTTAGGAAAGAACTTCACAAAGTTACAGGCTAATTCAAGGAATTGGAGTATTAAATCGTCGACTCCTTTTCCAAGCAAATCTCTACGTGCATCAAGCAGACAAGACGAATGATCAGATAGATTTCTCTAGCTTGTCAGTTCATGTGGTTCCTTCCCAGTTACAAGCTCCAGAAGCACAACACTAAAGCAGTAAATGTCTTGCTTGTAAGAACCTAAACCTGAATATTCAGCTACTGGAAAAAGACTCCAACTTAATGCTATCACATTTATTCATTGAATAAAGAATTACAATCAAACCTCTCTATAACAATCTCGTTTGTTCCATTCAAACTGCTCCCATTCCTATGTTGACACCAAGAGAAACAAACCCTGGAGCTATACAGAATATATATTATAACATAGCATGGAAATTGGTTCGAAAGGAAACTTGGCTTTTACAGAGAATGATTATTATATAGCGATGCTGTTATAGATAGGTCTGATTATATACACGGAGTTGATTCTATACGGGGCGCTAGCAAAAAAATGTAACTTAACTAATTCAGGGGAAAAGCTGGAGAGAAATTATGCCATATAATGGCACAAGAAAACCAAGAATATTGCCATTAAGAAAGAAATGTCTTGTTCTGGAATTGGTTTTCTCCATATTTGGAGATACTTCCTTCTAAATCTTTACTAAAGAGATATTAGCATTGAAAATCTGTCTGAAGAATAACTATGCCTTAAATTTTACACAATGGAGTCAAACACTCAATTTCCTTGTAGTTTGCTACGGCAACTTTTGGAAAAACTTCAGTTTCTGTCATATTTATTGATGATTCTTTGACTTTCCCTCCGTTCCAATTTATGTGAACCTGTTTGACCGGGCACAAAAGTTTAAGAAAAAAATGAAGACTTTTGAAATTTGTGGTTCTAAACAAGTCAAAAAGAGGCTCAAAGTATTTGTGTGGTTATAAACACTTCTCATTAAGGGTAGAATTATAAGTTTAAGCTAAATTGTTACCAAATTTAGAAAGGAATCATTCTTTTTGGAACAGACCAAAAAGTAAATAGGTTCACATAAACAAAGGTAGTAATACTTAATATTTTCAGCGTAAAGATTTCAAACGTGTGGAGATTGGAATAAGTGAGTCAAATCTGAATGGAAAATGGCACTCCTGGGGATTATATAACAAGAGAATTTTATTAAACAAGAACCAACAGAGGTGACAAAATGGTGTCCCAGATAATAGTTTTACTACTTTATTAAATTTTTAAAAAAGAAGAGTAAACACTAATGACTTTTGTTTTATAGATTTAATTTATATACACTAAGAAAATAAAATATCGTTGATGTAATTTAACATATTTGTTTACCGTGAAAATGGTAATAACAATTAAATTTGATTATGAGACTCTAAAAATATGTGATCTATTTTTATGCTAGTTGTTAAGTAGATGATGCTATGTGTGAGACTTAGAAACGAGATAAGAGTTAAGGATAAGGTAGTAATCAAACCGATAGGTTAACAATCGAGGCCTCGAGCTTGTCGATTTCGGAGCTCGGCTGTGAGCTATCGAAGGTGGTCGAGGTATGACTAACAGTTATAATAAAATCAACGAAGGCTCTTTATGGCCAATGACAAACAATAAATGTTGAACAATAATGAAGATAATAAATGGAAGCAATAATATCAAGAGAATGTGTTAGAGAGTAGAGAGAATATTCTTGTGTATTTCGTGTGGAGCAACTGAAGCAACATGGGTTTAAAAAATGACAAGGATCCCCTTTATATACGAAGGGAATCTCTACATAGTACAAAATACATTAGTTACAAAGATATGGAGATATGACAGCTAGATGACGTCCTGATTAGGGTTTAGAGTAGTCCACTAGGCTCTGTCAGTCCTAGCTGTGTACCTTGGGAACTCCCCATTTCTACTATAGCTGTGATCATTACTACCCTGAGGTCGAGTGTCGACGACCCTCGAGGGAGGATACTCGGCCGTGGCCTCGAGCCGTCGAGGTGATCTCCTGAAGTGCCTTAATGACGAGAAATTGGACCCTCCGATTTCACCGTATACAGATAGTCCCCGCGTTTCCTAGAAAGAAGAGATAAGAAACAATTTTGAGCTTCTATTTCGAGGGCATCATCGTCGTGACGTCAGCCTATCAGAGCATTAAATGCCATGCCCAAAAAACCGAGCAAGGGTCGCCATCAAACGCGACTATCGAGAAGCCCACAAACCGCTATTAGTTCGTCCCTTCCACTGCCCATTCGGCTCCTATAAATGCACCAATCGTTTGATAATTCTTACTTTCTCAACATCTTCAAATTCGCAAAACCAGACCCATCCCCTTTCAGATCATTTCTTCTTACTTTCTTAGAGAAATTTCATCATCATCATTGCTAGAAGCCTAGAACCTCCAAGACGGTTCCTCGGAAAGACGAGGCTGCCTCTTCATCTCGAACATCTAAAGGGAAACCCAAAATGATACCCATCTTGGGACAATGTACTCCCATCGAGCTTGACATATCAAAGGACTTTATCATCGATAAAACCTCATCTGCACCGGGCCGATGCGAACACGTGTCCCGGTACATTAGTGTCATGACCAACATAGGGAAGGTGAAGGAAGACTACTGATGGAGGGAGGCAGTGGAGATTCCCAGCCCTGATGAGAACATAACGGATTACAAGGCTGGTTTCCTTCATGTATATACTTACCCGTTCACTTTGAGTCCTGTCGATCCTTCTAAATCCCCTCCCCCGGAGATAGATCCGGTTATCCTCGATTTTTATGAAAAATACCAAGTAACGCTCAGTCAAATCTATCCTTCTTTCTAGAGGATAGTTTTGATGCTTTGCCATTTCTCCGATGGGGTTGAGGGGAGACCTTTACCCTCAACCATTTGATTAGGTTGTACAACCTTCGATTTTATCGAGGTTTGATTAGGCTTCAAAACCGATCCAAAAAATCATTTTTCTCGAGCACCGACGAGGACTAGGATCGAGGGTGGATGAGTAGGTTCGTCTGGGTGAAGACTTCGCTCATCATTCCGGCCGAGAGGATGCCTTTCCCGGAGAAGTGGAACACACAACGTCAGCATTTTTTCCCTCGAACATGTTTTGTTATTTTCTTTCCTTTATTCCGGAAAAATTACCTCTTTTTGGTTTCTGTAGCTACCGCTTGGTATCCCGAAGCGGTCTCGGATCTGCCGAGATAGATTGAGTGGTTGGATACCTCGTTCCCATATCTTGTCTGATCTTGGCCTGACCTGGCAAAGAAGCGGTGGGTGGCCAAGAATCATGGTAAATCTTCCTTGCCACCTATGTCTTAGCTTTATGTTTGTCTGTATATCCTTTGTGCTGATAAGTTACGATCACTGCGCTCGTGCAGGCCTTGGTGAGAGCATGCATATGAGGCCGCCCCCGGTGGCGAGATGGAGACTTCGGAGCCCGCCAAGGGCAAGAAAAGGAAAGGTAAGGTGGCCGACGATCCTCCCGTGGCAATGAAACCTAAGTCATGCGAGCCTCGAGCCGTTACTAGGACCTTGACTTCAACTTCCAGAGCAAGCCTCAACACTGAGGATGATGATGATGATGAGGGCGAGTGCCGGTTTGTACGGTGAGCGAGGTCAGTAGGGATCCTCGCAGGCACCTCGACCAGAGGCTGCTGAATCGGGAACGGCCGATTTAGGTCAGCCCCGTGCATCGAAGACCTTTAAGGAGGGTGTCAATGTGTTCCGGGATCCCATGACCGGA